GTAAGCCACGAAGTAAGGCTGCATCCTCTGTCAGTGGGAAGGTGGGCTGGCAACGTTAGTGGGGCCATGATAGAAAAGCTTTCATGAACTTCTTTCTCTCCAGTAAACACTTAGCCCACATCTTGCTGTCAGTAAAGAAGTTGTTCCTAAACTTTGAGTCACTTAAGCTTGCCCACGAAGTGAGGTGCCGTTTTCCCTCCCCGGGTATTGTTTGCCTGGTGATACCTCAGTGTCCAGCAGCTCCTGGTGCCTGACAGCTGTCTGGCCTCACCACACCCTTTGTGCTGACTGCGGGGACCTGAGCATCCTTCCCTTCCCTGAATCACGGCCTCAATGTCGTCTTGTGTCCTTGATGATGTAAAAGTGTTTAATGCTTCCTGGCTGTAGTGGGTAGCATGCAGATAAGAATTTAACTGGTTATTCTTGACATTCTTTTACAATAAACCAATATTTATAATCTTGAAATGTTAAAAAAAAAGAAAGAACCAGGAGCTAGGGCCTAGGGTGCTCTTCAGTTGCCTGTTGCTTTGGGGTCCCTGCCCTATCAGAACAGCTTCCTTCTTGTTTTTATCAGGGTTTTCTGTATCTGGGATGTGTGTGTGTGTGTGTGTGTGTGTGTGCGCGCGTGTCCTTTACTCCTTCCCTCCTTCCTTCTCTCTTTCTTTCTCTTATTTGTTTTTTGAGACAGGCTTTCTCCATGTAGCTCTGTAGACCAGGCTGGCCTAGAACTTAGAGATCCGCCTGCCTCTGCCTCACAAGTGCTGTGATTAAAGGCGAGCACCACCATTACCTGGCTCACTCTTTTCTTCCTTCCTTCCTTCCTTCCTTCCTTCCTTCCTTTTCTTGTTTGCTTGTTTTTTTTCTTTCCTCCTCTCTCTCTCTCCCCCCATCCAGGACTTGCAATTTCTTCTACAAGTTGCAGGTCCCAGTGACCCATCCATTCTGCACTAGGTACAAGCTGGGTCGTGGATGAGTAGCGCTTTGTGACATCATCTGGAAGTCACCAGATACTGGGGGAAGAGGGCAAATCTAAAGAAAATGTGCCCAGCTCCTCTGCAGAATTTGGGACAACGTGAGGGAAAGTCAGCAGGCAATTTGCAAAGGGAATGTGCATTAGTTTCTTCTCTGGCTGCTGCGGGAAGAAGGCATGGAGGCAGGAGCGTGAGGCAGCTGGTCTCATTGCATCCACAGTCAAGGAACCGGGAGAGATGTCTGCTGGAGCTCAGCTTTCTGTCTTCTCTTTAATTCCCACACCAGACCCAGCCCAAGGGGGAGGAGCATACTGCTCAATTCAGCCTTCCCACCTCAGACAACCTAATCTAGAAAGACACAGACATTCCCAGAGGCCTGTCTCTTCAGATGATTCAGATGCTGTCAAATAGACAAATCAGTATTAACCTATACAGGCGGCTGCTGTTTCCTGCTGTGGGAGTCCGTGTGGGATAATGCCTTAAGTGCCCCGTGTAACAATGATGCTACAACAGCGTTGATCGGTGCTCAGCGGAGGCCTATTGGGGAAGATCATTTCTCTGTCTGGGGTGGAGGTTTGGTGCTCTAAGCTAGTGCAAACATATAAAAGGTAATCCAGTTGGTCAGTCAAACATCTGGCTAGTGAACCATCCCTAGGAAAGCACATCTATCATAAGCCACGCCCAAGGGATGAGAGGAATAATTATCCCCTTGATGGGACAAAGTTATCTTTCTCCCCAGCCCCCAGCCCCTGGTGTCTGCTCCCCTGAATCACTCAGGAAAGTATAAATTTCCTTTTCTTCTACCTCTAGTCCGAACACGCTTTCCCGACGCTTTAGTTAGCCTCCCTTCCATGAGGCTGCCTGCCTTCACGCGGCTGACCTTGGAGACAGTGTGAGACAAGCTGCACGCCCCTTTTCCCTTCTCTTCTCCATCCTCCTCTTCCAAGCAGCCACTGAGTCCTTTGAGTCCATTCTTAAATTCCTTAAATTACAATGAGACCAACAACCCTAAGACGAGACCCAGTGATTTCCCCCAGGAACATGCGCCCAATGTGCCAGCCGGGACACCTCAGAATTTCCGGTGACAGTTGATAAGTTGCACCTGTGAAGTCAGCCACTGCCCCAGAACTCTGGAACACAGCACCGCATGGCCCCCAGGGAAGATGCTTGCAGGCTTTGAAGAGTTCAGTCCAAATGGAAACCCGCCGTCAGCACTGATGCCTTTTAGCGCTTCTGAACCCTCCGCTAAAAGGCTAGTTTCCCGAGAGGCTTTGTTCAGGTAGTGGGTTTGCGTTTACTAATGGCTGAATTTCCCTGTGGGAGACAAGACTAATTGTGAAGTAGCTTTGGAGTTAAATGTTCAGTTATTCTCAAAGAAGGGACCCGATCTGCATTTGAAATGCAGGGGTCACCACGGCTGGGTACATGGAGGGGCTGGCTTTAAGCCCTGCTGCTTAGAAGTGTCTCCAGTAATTTTCCAGCCCTAGCAATCTTGTCATGCTTGGGCTGGGGGTGGGGAGACCATCACCAGAAACCCTCACTCACTGGCTGGTCTAAAGAGAATTCTTGGTTCAGAAATAGAAAAGAGGAATAAAAAAAAAAAAGAAGGAAAGAAAGACCAAAATTAAACTGCGTTGTGATACCCATGTGAACCGTTGGTGAAGGATGCCAAGTCTTTTGAGGTAAAATAAAATCAATTTATAAAGAAAAAAAAATACCCAACCACAGAAAGTTGCTGGCTCCCTTCGCGATCCGTACCTATTTGCATAGAAAGCAAGCTCACAATAATGCATTAGAAAAATGCAGATTAATGTGGGATTTGCATATTTTTTGCACCTTCCCTTTGCTGAGACGCCTAAATGAATCCTTTGATTAAGCCTTAGTCAATACAGTTTTTAATTTATTGATTTTTTTTCCCTTCACAAAATATTATCAAGGTGATCACATCTGGGCCTTGGAACCCAATAGCAGTTGGTGGGGACATTTTGTCTGTCTGTGAGGCTTCTTCTGTCGGCTAAGGGACATTTGAAATAGGTATATGAAGATATTTTCAAACTACATCATCAAATCCAACTCCCTGACTGAGTGGGGTGAACAGGCTATGTACCAGCCACAGACTGGTGGGGATGACTTTGATTTTCCTTCATCATTTACCTGATGACTCCCTGACTCGGTTTCCCCTTTTGTACAGCTGAACAAAACAAATGCAACACACCAGTTGCCATGGTGAATGGATGGAGAGGGCTGAATCAAGAACTAAACAGAGAACATCGACAGTGTTCTGGCACGCACGTGTGGAGACCAGAGGCTGGTATAAGCTGTCTTCCTCAGTTGCTCTGCGCCTTATTTTTTGAGGCAGAGACTCACATTGAACCAGGAGCTCACCAATTTGGATAGATCGACTGGTCAGTGAGCCCCGTAATCCTCCTGCCTCTGATTTTCCAGTTTTGGAGCTATCAGATTATGTCTTTAGGCTTACCCTGTCATACACCTGCCTGTCTCTGGCTCACAGTTCTCATGCTGGGCACATTCTTTGGCTCTTGAATTCTCTTCAGGAGTGCAGAGTTGGGGAGACAAGGGTTGCTTAGGGTACCATTTCCACCTCTTCTGGTGTAGGTGATGTGGTTGAGATGGATAAGGACATCTCCTCCTCCTCCTCCTCCTCCTCCTCCTCCAGGCAGCAGCTCAGAAGGGTCACCGCTGGGAACCCTGCTAAGATCTCCCGTGTCCATGAAGCCTGGAGCAAAGCAGGGGCTGCCTTCACCGCTTGGCAACGGGACCACGGACGCTTAGTTGTCACTAGTGTCCCACCCCTGGGCTAATGAGTACAGATATTTTAAGGATACAGTAAAACAAACAAACCTCACTTCTGGCCACGACTATACCTGCCCATCAATCTACCTCCATGTCCTAGAATGCAAGTCTCAAAGGGGGTTTCATTAACTTAGCCTATTGCTTGCCACTGAGTCACTAATGTTCTGGAGAGTTCCAGGAGGCAGGGTGGGGCTTTACTGTGGGGGGCGGGTGTAGTCACAGGACCTGATAGTGAGTTTTAGGTTCCTGGGATCGAGGAAGGTGGCTTTCTCTTGCTTCGGGTCAGGTCACAGGGAGCAGCAGCCCTGTGCAGATCCTGAGATCCGTCTGCAGCGGCCATCTGCTTTTGTGTAAGTGACCTCTCCCCAAAATAAATTATCTTTAACCGATATTTGAGCCTAGTTCCGTGAATCATTATCCGTGCCTACGCAGGCGTGGCTTTACTGTGGTGGGGCGGGGCTTTACTGTGGTGGGGCGTGGCTTTACGATAGTGGGGTGGGGCTTTACTGTGGTGAGGGCGGGGCTTTATTGCGGTGATAGGGTGGGACTTTACTGTTGTTGGGGCAGGGCTTTACGGTGGTGGGGCGGGCTTTACAGGTGTGGGGGCGGGGCTTTACAGATGTGAGGGCGGTGCTTTACTGTGGTGATGGGGTGGGGCTTTACTGTGGGGGCGGGGCTTTACTGGGTGGGGCGGGGCTTTACAAGTGTGGGGGCGGGTCTTTACAGGTTTTGGTGTGGTGCTTTACTGTGGTGACAGAGTGGGGCTTTACTGTGGTGGGGTTGGGGCTCGCAGGGCTTTCTGCTTTGCTGGAGCAGTGATGGGGCTGTGTCTTGACCCCATGGAGGAGGTTGGTATTAGAACTCGCATTACATAAATAAGGGAGCAAACAGAAGAAGCTACCCCAAGGTCGCATCCCCCCACTCCCACTGCCCCCCAGCTGCCTCCCCCTCCTTCTGCAGCCTCTACCCCCACATGACCGAGAGGAGGCCCAGATCGTTCTGTCTCGGGACCCGCGTTCTTCCTGGACGGTTGTTATCCCCACAGAGACAGAGATTAGAGTTCCACGCACTGTTTTGAAGTCTGCATTTTGGTTTAGCACCTCTCTCTCCTGTGAATATTTTTCCATGTATTTGAATATTCTTCGACAACATAATTTTTAAAAGCTACACAGTGTTCCGTTGTGTGGATACAGTACAGTTTGCTTTTCTGAGCCTCCAGCCTTCAATGCCGAGGTGGTTTCCAATTTTTCAATGGTTATAAATACCACTGTGATAATCACCCAGTGGATAAATCTTTTTGTTTCTCCACCGTTACTTCCTCAGTGGGGGAAAGAAAAAAAGTCTCAAAAGTGAATTTTCCGGGGTAAAAGTACTATTTTAAAATCCGTGTAGTTGCAGGTCTTACTGTAATTTCTTGTGATCCAAGCTGTCTTTAAGACCTGGGAGAATTAGTACACCAAAATAGAGCTGTTGGGCCAGATGCAGTGTGAGTAAGATTTCTGTTGTCACTGGAGTGGAGACAGCATCACCCAGTAAAACACACCAGAAGCTCAGGGCCAGGAGGGCCGGTAAGTGGCCATCGACTGTCACCGCCGGCGGTGTGTTGAAACAACGCGTGACCAGCTGAGGTGGTGGTGAGGATGTCCAAGTCCCCGAGCTGCGGTGACGGCGGCAGTGAAGATTGTCACAGATCACCGGGCAGACGTGATGGTGAGTGTAATGAATTCACTTGCGGTGGCTTTGGGCAGTACCAGCTCTGGGTACACTTCCCATCTGGTCCCCGAGAGGACAAATGGGTCCAGCACCACGGCATGTGGCAGAGGTGACTACTTACCCTTCCTGGGTCAGATTTTTCCAGAATTCTCCTCTCACCGAGGGCTTAGCTGTCGGGGTGGAGACTCCATTCCCAGCCTCCTCAGCTGCTAGACGTAATTCTGACTAAGCAGTTTCCTCAGAGAGGGATGCAAACTGAGGCAGACATCTTCTCCAGTCTCTCTGTTCGTTTTTCCTCCCTTCCACCATGTGGGTTATGATGGAAGCCTGACTGGCTGGCTGCCTTCTGCCGTGCGGGGACTATGATGAACTAGCTTGAGAGAGGCCCTGAAATGTAGGTGGTGGGGTAAGAACAGGGCACACATTCACCATTGTAGTTGGGGCACTGTTGCCAGGACAACTGAGCCCCTTGCTGGAGGCGAGGTAACAGGCTTGGAGAACACTCCAGGTCCAAGATGCTAGGGTAAGACTGAACCCAGATCCTCTAGGTGACCTCTTTGGGACCCCACCCCCACATCCCCCCAGGACACCTTGGGTCACCCCAGAAAGAAAGTGATGAAAGGCTAGGTACATTCTACCCACTTAGAAGTTATTCCGGAACGTGGATGGATCCTCCTTGGGGCAGGAGGCAGGGACAGATGGGCTGACAGGAAGCAGAAAGGGCACAGACTCGAAGCTTGTGCCTTAAGCTCTGTCTCCACCACCCACTTGGGGACACTGTCTGGTCCCTCAGAGCACCCACCCCCTCCTTTTCTCTTCTGTTAAAAAAAAGATCTATTTTACTTTTAATTATTGTACGCGTGTGTCTTTGTGTGGGTGTGCGACACGAGTGTCCTCAGGATGGAGGGGTGACTGTCTGACTCCTATGGAGCTAGGGTCGCGGGTGCTGCCATCCCCCCAGTGTGAGCACCAGGAACCCAAACTTGGGCTCTCTGCAGGAGTGCTGCAGGTTTCTAACCACTGAGCCATCTGTCTAGCCTCTACGCAGTGACTCTTTAAAAGGCAAAGATGGCGCCCGGACTTGGGAAACCTGACAAGGTGACGCAGCCAAAGGATTCGCAGCAAAATCTGACTCAGAAGCGCTTTAGCACAGATGCTTTTGTCGTCACGAGCACAGTCGTCCCTCGGCAACGGGATTTGGTTTCAGGGGTTCTGGGCAGATTCCATAACTGTGGTTGTTCCAGTCTCTTAGGGAAAGGGGTGCGGTGTTTGTATGGAGCAGATGCACGTGGCTTTCCAAAAGCTTTAACTTACCCCTAGGATACTGATGGCCCCAACACCAAGGAAACACTGTGAGTAGCGGCCATGCTGCACCGGTCAGGGACTGACAAGGAATGCCCAGACATACTCAGATGCAATCAATGTTTGCTTTGTTTAGTTTGATTTGTAAAGATCCGTTTCTTTTTGTGTCTGAGTGTTTTGCCTGCATGTATGTCTGTGTACCGCTTGCATGCCTGGTGCCCTTGGAGGGAAGCAGAGGCAGAGCCCTGTAAATAACAGACAGTTGTGAACTTTCATGTGGGTGCTGGGAACCCAACCCGGGTCCCCTACAAGAGCAGCCAGTGCTCTTAACCGCTGAGCCATCTCTCCAGCCCCCTTGTTTAGGTTTTCTGAAGGTCTCACTGTGTAGCCCAGGTTGCCCTCAGACTTGCTGCAGTCACCCTGCCTGCAAGTGCTGGCATTACAGACACAGGTCATCTTGCCTGGCTACATGCAGACATTTCTCTGTCTGTGCATTTGTGTGTGCACATGCATGTGCGATGGAGTGCATACATATGTGTGGGTGTGCATATGGAGGCCGTAGTCCACCGTCTTCCTTAATCCCTCTTTACTCTCTGTAGGTTTTTCTGAGGGGGTGTTCCTTGCTGAAGTAGGAATTTTGCTATTGGCTACACTGGCCAGCAAGTGAGCCCAAGGTCCTCTTGTCTCCTTCTCTCTAGTGCTGGGGTCCCTGTCACTAGCACTGTGTGGCCATGCCCAACCTTTGATGTGAATTCTGGAGGTCAAATTCATGACCTCATGCATGCTCCGTTCCCTCGGTCCCCAAGTGTAGCTTTTTTAAGCACACCTTTGTCCCCGAGGCTGGCTGAATCCTCGGTGCAGAACCAGCGGGTGAAGAGGGCCAAACACCCCATTTTCTCCTAACCAGTTGCCCACCCAGACGTTGCCCTCAGAATGAGCCACCTACTCTTCCCATGCCTGCCAAGGGAAACTGAGGAAGCTGGCCCCAAGCCCAGCCTGACCAGCATGGGTAGGGGCCTTGCCCTGTGCTGCTGTTTGAGGGCCTGGTCCAGCCGCAGAGGAAGCCTTGTTAGTTAGTAACCACAAACCACAATCTGGGGGGGGGGAGGGCTGCAGCCCCTCCCACACTACAGCCACTGCTAGTTGTGGATGTGCAGAGCTCGGGATCCAGAGTGCTGCAAGTGTCTGCCCCTGGCGTCACCCCCAGGGTGCTGTGTTTGACTTGTCACCCATAGCTCCCACCCACCTAGGGGCCTGCCAATGGAGCCAGCCAGCCAATCAGGGGCACAGCCAAAACTCTTCCAGCCTGTCTATCATACCTGAGGCCAGAGGCCATGACGATATTTGGGGGGGACAAGAAACAGAGAAGTGGGAAGGAAAGGAGTAGTGAGAGACCCACCCAGCCTCACCTGCGGCGGGGACCACACCCGCTGGGGCGTGGTCACAGGTGCCTATGTGAGTGTGTGGTATTTGGTCTGGGGTCTGGGACAGGCTTTCTCTCTCTTGTTTCTGGTCAGGTCACGGAGAGCAGCCTGGGTGTGGATCCTTGGAGCCGGAACTTGGGGGTCATCGGTTTCTTATGTAAATGACTTCTCCCCGAATAAAATTAACCCATGTTTAACCAACTCCCGTGTATCTTAATCTGTGCCTCTACAGAAAGGCACACAGAGGGGGCACCCTCTTACCTGGTCACTTCTACTACTAAGTACAAAACAGGAGACGTCCACTGTGTATGTGTGTGTGGGAACAGTTCAAGAAGAATGCTTCCAAACAGGGCAAGTATGGACAGGAACAGGACATCAAGGGCATTGCTGTGGAGGTGGCTGAACAACGGGGATCACTGTCTCTGGCCAGGAGAGCTGTCACTCCTGCTCTCTGCATGCTGGAGCAGGGAGGGTGCTGTGAGCTTGGGGACAGGGGGCAGGGAACAGACTGGCAGGGCCTCCCAGGACATGTGGGAGGAGAATCAGACACAACAGGTGCAAGGCTTGCTCCTAGGAAGACAGAATGTTCTGGAGGGCAGGGAGCAGATGCCAGGGCATCTTGGGCTGTGAGCCAACCTCCTGAGGCTGAAGGCTCAACAGGAAGGAAGAGAGGGGGCAGGCAGAGGCTGGAGAACAGCCTGGCCAGGGACAGAGGTCAGACCCAGGCTTTGTAGAAAAGTCCCCTGACTTCCCAAGAAAAGTGAAGGCTGCTGAACGGATAGAGAATGTTGTTGTCTGGGAAATGAGGAGGCTCTCAAGGGCTGCCATTTCTCTTGAGAAACAGAGGGAAATAACGTAATTTGAGGAGTGGGGAGTATGGGTATCAAGGACTTGACAATGAGTGTAGCCAGGAGCTGGATGGGAGGGTAGCCAGGGAGGGAAGGAGCCCTGGGCTACAGAGGAGGGGGGTCATGGGGTGCCTGTGAACTTAACTCCATCCTTTCCCAGTATCCTCATCTGAACAATGCGATGATAAAAACCACGGAGCTGCCGTGAGGGTGAGAGTAGGTGTAGGCTGTGGGCACACATCTACTTACCAATCATGAGTGCTGTTCTTTCTGCTCTGGGCACCCTGGGGGCCTCTTCCCCATGGGTTCTTGCAATGAGGACATTTCACCCATATTCCCTCTCCTCCTAGAGTCGTCTGTATAAGAGGTTCTCTGGCGGCTGGACTACCCCTTCCTTCTCTTAAGTCCAAGGGCAAAACACAGATGGCCCACCCGCTTGTGTCTCAATGTGGTCCCTTCCTTGAGGAATGGCTCCCTCAACTCCAGGTCTTGGCTCAGAAGCCGGTTTTCCCAGAATGCCTGCCCCAGCTGCCTCTCCTCGGCACTCCATAGCTCCCACGGTCCACGTTCTCTTCCTTCCTGGAACATTTGAAGCGTAGCACAGAGTCCACTTATTTCTTCCTCCCATTGTCTATCTTCCAAATAAGACATCACCTCCTTAGTAGTCAAGGACTTTACTATCCTGCCCCCACCCTTGGCCCAGGACTTAGGAAAATGCACAGCGCACGCACAGCGCTTAGAATATTTCCCAGGAGTGTCACCAGATGTCTTAGTTTGGGTTTCCATCGCTGCGGTGAAACATTGTGTCGAAAAGCAATTTGGGAAGGGAAGGGTTTATTCGGCTCACACTTCCACACCATAGTTGTCAGTGAAGGAAGCCAGGACAGGAACTCAAGCAGGGCAGGAACCTGGAGGCAGGAGCTGATGCAGAGGGCATGGAGGGGAGCTGCTTGCTGGCTTGCTCCACATGGCTTGCTCAGCCGCTTTCTTATAGAACCGATCACCAGCCTAGGGATGGCCCCACCCACAATGCTCTGGGCCCTCAGTTATTAGTTAAGAAAATGCTCTACAGGTTTACCCACACCCCTACCTTGTGGAGGCATTTTATTGAGGTTCCCTCCCTTCCGATAACTTTAGTTTATGCCAAGTTAGTACAAACTATCCTGGTTATATCACACTCCGGAGCAGACCCATGCCTAGGAGTAGTTGGCCAGTACAAAACAAACTCGGTGGTAGTTTCGTGGACTTTGGTTTCTTTTCTTTTTTTTTTTTCTTTTTCTTTTTTTTTTTTTTTTGTCTCATTGGCCTTTTGCCTGCTTTGATTTTTGTTTTTTGTGGGTTTTTTTTTGTTTGTTTTGTTTTTTGAAGAGAGAAAAGACCATAAAGTCACATGGATAGGGAGATGCAGCGGATCTGGGAAGAG